TTTTATTTCTGTACTTTTTCTAGCTAAAAATCTTAAACTCAGATCAATCAAATTATTCAATCAATAATGCATTTTATCTTTTCTAAACTAAAAGATCTAATTTAAATCCTGGTGAAAAGAGTTTAATTAATATATTAGAATTATGATTCTGCAAGATTTTTATAAGTATTTTTCTTGAAAAAAAGATTTTGTATATAATTTTATTTTTATTCTTTTTTTTAAAGATCTGAAAGCTATTTACTTTATATATTTTTATTATCTTTTGCTATATTAAAAGTGATACTATTCTAATTCTATATAATTTTTTTATTATTTTAATAGGTAAATAGTAATAAAGAATAATTAAAGAAAGAGTGATATAATCTATTATATTGAAGAATATAAATAATTATACTGAAAAATGCTAGAAGAATAATAAAAATCATCATGATATATATATATATATATATTATTGATAATATGTGCTAAAAAATATAAAAAAATAAGAGAGAAACTATCATAATCTATAATATTGATAATATAGGCTAGAAAATATAAAAAATTAGAGGATGCAATATGATCTTATATATTAAAGAATACTACAAAAAAGGATATAGGTATAATTATAAATATGATATTAAAGGATGCTGAAAAATAAGAAGTTGGAAATTATGTAATATTATGAAATATTTTTACAATCAGATGATTCTTTTTATGAAATTCAGAATTATAGATTTTAATAGAATAATAATAATAATATATAGAAAGAAGAAATCTCTAGTAAAAAATATAGAAAAACAAAAATTTGACCAGCAAATCTGTATTTTGTGAAGATTAAAATATTTTGATTTATTGCTAAAAAAAAAGTATGAGTTGAATGATATAATAACTTACCTAATTATATATTTGAATTATATATATTATTTAATGAAAAAATTTATTATTTAATTTCATAATTAAGAATTCAATTAATTAAATATGAGAGTCTCAAATAGTATACTTCTCACTGAAATAATATAATGAATTTAATACTTGATTAATGGTATGATTTTTATTATAATAATATAATAAATTTAGTACTTAATTAATATTATGATAAATAATTATTTATATAAAATTAATTATAAAATAAAAATTATATTATAATAAAATTTAAAATTAAACTTAAATAATATTAATTTAAAAGAGATTCTAAACTAACTCTTAATTTTTCAATAAATATAATTATTTATTCAGTATCTTTTCTTTCTTTAACTCTTTAATATAGATTATATATTCTTTTCATCAACTTATTTACAGTTTATCATCAACTTTCAGCTACTCTTTTAGTTTTAATTTTCTCATATATTATAATTTTTACTGGCTTTCAATTTCTATATATCTCAAATTCATATTCTTTAAATATTTACTAAAATTTCTCTCAAGTACTAGTAGCTAATAATTTTCTAGCATCATACATATACTCATGAAAAATGTGTTGGTAGAATAATTAATATTAATAGAAGAAGAGATAATAATAATAAGATGATAATAATTCTGATATTACTTTTTCTTTTTGTATCCTTTTTTTAACAGTACAAGCTTCATTAATAATTATTTGCTAGATAGAAAAGAAGAATTTATAAACTTTATCAAGAATCTTATGATTAATACCAACAATTGAGATTTTTTTAGTATAGAATCTGAAAGCTACATATTCCAAATCTGAATACTTCTTCATATTAAGTAAAATAATATTATGGTATACATTTAGTAGAAAGATAAATTAGTTTTTTGAAGAAAACTAATAATACAACTATGTAATAAAAGAAAACTAGCATAATCATATAATAAATAAAGATTAAACTAGTAACATAGTCTTATAATAAACAAAAAAAAGTAAATAATTCTATTAAGAAAAAACTTATATCTATTAACTAAATTATACAGAGAAGATATTTTTCATTTTAATTTACTGTGATATGATTCTAATAAGTTTGTGATAGTTACTTATAAGAGAAGAGGAAAATTTTGATAGATCCAAAGAGCTTACTGATTTATATTACATATATAATATCTTGTGATATATTACTAAATAATAGGAATTAGATAATTATTGATTGCTTATTAAATAAGTTTCTCATAATTGATTTTTATTATTTTATATATTACTTATATTATTTTATTACAAGTTTTTACATGATAAATTTTTTTTATCTAAGTTTTTATAATATATATGATATAGAAAAGAATATCATATTTTAGAAAAAAACTATTATAATTCTATTAGCTTTCATATTACTTTGATTAGCAAGAAAGTATCAAGATTTCTAAAAGCATATAAATTATTAAATTATTTTTAGAACTTCTATTATTATATTATTATTTTTATTACTGATAAAAAAGTAGATATCCATATCTCAATATTCATATCTATTATAAATATATAAAGTAAACAAATATTAATTATATTTATTTATTTTATATATAGAGTTGATCAGTATCAATTAATCATAATGTTAAAGTTTTTTTAATTAGTTAGGATATATAAAAATAAAATCTTGAAATTACTGAGAAGTTTGATAGTATTCAACTTGATATTTTTTTTTAGAAAAAAAAATTACTTTATTGATTTCAAGCTCAAGATTAATATTATTTAGAAAATGTGAATTATGAAATTGATAAATTTTGTATTTTATATTTATAGCTTTCTTTAATCTTAGCTCTTTTACACTTGAATTGAGATTTAATTTTTCTGATATATATTCTCTAATAGCACTAATAATAAATGATAGTAAGTAGTTTTTAATTACTTTATTTTCAATTAAAATTTGAATAGTTTCTGATTATTTCAGTTTTTTACTTTCCTTTAATAAATGTGAATGATTAGATAAGTTATTATATTATTTAACTCATACTTTTTTTTAATAACAAATCAAGATACTTTAATCTTTGTAAAATATAGATTTGCTAGCCAAATTTTTGATTTTCTATATTTTTTACTAGGAATCTCTTCTTTTCATATACTTTGATTAGTTATATTTAGTAAAGTAGTATATAAAGATTCTTTATGAATTATCATTAATAAGAATTTTATAATTAAATTTGATCTATACATTTGAGACTAGAGATTACTATTTATCATTAAATTCACATATTGAAATTTCAAATAGCTAATTGATATTAAAGAGAAGAGAATGTTTTTGATTAGATAATATAAGAGAGTTTATTTTTATATCATATTTTTTAATTCTTGAAAAGAATACATTTTTTTTTAGTATATTATTATGTATTTTAAATAAGACATGAGAAAGAATTTTGTCATAATATAGCAAGTAATTGAAAAGTACATAGTGAGTAAAAAGAAAAAATATATTAGCGAGTAAAAAGTAATATAAAATAAGAAGAAGAATTTTTTGTTAGTAAATAGTTTTTTTTGTTTATGCTAGCAAAAACAAAATTATAAATAAATAATATAGTCTAAATTCATAATCAAAATCTTTTCAGAATTCTTTCTAAACAAATATAAAATATCAACAGTAAGTAAGCAAACAATAGTTAACAAGCCAAGATTATTTTGATATATGTATTATACAGTTAGAAAATTAATTTTCTGACTGTATTACTGAATCTCTTCCAAAATGATTTTAGTCATAAATATTATATGACAAAATCATATATTCATTAAATTTTAGTCAATTTCTAAAAAAAAAATAATAAGATATATTAAAAGAAGAGTATAGCAATATTGATAAAAGCTTTATTTGTGTTTTTATTATCTAACAAAACTAATATTCTTCTTATTATAAATCTAAATACAAAATATTTACTGAATTATATAATAAAATTTATGAATTTTTAATAATTATTGAAGACAAAAAAATAAATACAATATCAGTTATATATTTTGGAATGAAAGAAGATTGTGAGATCACACAGAATGAATTAAGAGTAGTTATAAATCAGATTGTAAATTCAGCTAGTAATAGATATATAAAAGATTTAGAGTGTTAATTAAGAATTTTCTGAATTTTACCTCAGATTAGTCTATTATATAAAAAGATTTTCAGATAATACTTATATGATGATACTATATGATTTCATTCATAGTATGAATGTCAAATAAATAAATTCAGGTTGATTTGTAAATTTATATTTTTCTCATCCACTATCTTAATACCCAATAATACTTACATATAATAAAGATATGTATAAGCTATAGATTGTTATGCAGTTGTGGTTCACTCTATTAATCTATTATATAATAAGATTATTACACTGTTGAGAATGAATTAAAAAAATATAAGTTATTATGTAGCTAATTAATATCACACAAAGTTTTATCAGTATGATAATCACACAAAGATAATAGCTTTGCATATATACTGATAAATCACGTTATTTTAATGATGAGAATTTATGTATTTCTGAATTTAACATATTATCTATTTATAGTTTGATAGTGCCTTTGAAGAGATTAATAATCTTTATGATATGGGAACAATAAAAACTGATAAGAAGCAACCACTTAGTTCAGACCAAATTGTAAAGAATGTAGATAAACTAAAAAGAAAACTTGACAAAGACACATCTCCTCTCTATCAGTGTTTATATTCCGATATAAATAAGATTCCAGTTCAAGAATTAACTTGGAAAGATCCTTTAGCTAGTCAAGTTATTAGAGATAATTCAGAACTTGTCCAAAAATTACCAGGAAATTTTAAAAAAGCATATATTTATATGTCGCTCTGCTATTATTTTTTATTAAAGACAGTTATAAAGTGACTAATGATTCTAACAAAGCTAATAATTTTTTTTAGAAATCGGTAAAGTTGATGAAATCCATTCTTATACCAAGAGTCAAGGATATGTGTAAAAGGTTTGTATCAAATTTTTCTAGTTGTAATAATTATAATAGATTATCCGAGAAGTTAATTCATGACGGAGCTTGGAAAGAATCAGAAGAAAAAATTTCATGTGTTGTGAGCGAAATTCTTGGTACTTTAGAAGATATTTGAAACAATCCAGCTCTTACTTCTGAGATGGCAAAAACATTAAACGAAGGGACTTATCAATCTACAGTTATTGTACTAACTATACGAGCAGTTTTAAAAAATCTTCCTCTTGGGCCATTATCATTTATCAGCACATCAGAAAGGCAAAGTATTGCAAGTGCAGATAGAAGAGGAACTGGAAGACGTCCAGATATAATGTTTATAATAAAGTATTTGGACGTGTTTTTTGAACTTATGTATATTGAATGCTCTCGATTGTTATGTACAGAGCAAAAAAAAGTAGATGACGATATTAAACTATGGAGGGAGTGTAATGATGGAATGTACTATACTCGAAAAACTCTTAATTCGGATAAAGACCAATTCGGAATAATTGGAGTACAAATAGCAGGAGATACTTTACATCTGAATGTTCTTATCAGAGATAAAACTAATGTTCATAGATATTACCATATACAATCGGCAAAAATCCCTGTTCAATTTTCAGATGAGGATGATGTAATTAAATTTGTTGAGACACTTTTATTTTTACGAAATATATTAATTACAAATATATCCCTGCTATGCCATGGTACAATAACATCATCTCAAAGATTAAAGGAAGGGAGCACAACAGTTACTACACCACGAGATGATTATCCATAGATTTTTATTTATCCTGTATTTTTATATGTATTTTTTATCGTATATTTATTAATAAAGATTTTTGGTTAGAGGAACGTACAATTGATCATGTGTTATTTTTCGTGCTCGGTTACATATGCATCATGGGTACGATCAAGATTTCACAAATTCGATATGGAAAAATATATTTTATTTATAATGATAAAACGATAATTTCAGAAAAACTGGACACGCGTGTCCGGGCGCAGTAATGTGGCGCAGTAAACACATAAATCTCGTCTCGCATAATCCTTTTTTGATCATTACAAATGGGTACAATTACACTAAACTGTTTTGTTCAAAATAGCGACGAGACTTTTTCCATAGAAATTGAAAGAAATAAGAATATTAATCAACTCAAGAAAGCTATTAAGGAGAAAAAAAGTGCAGAGTTTCATAGCGTCGATTCAGAAAAGCTTAAAATATGGAAGGTTCAGATTCGTGAGAGTAGTGTTGAGTTCAATGATCTTATACTCCATGACGACGATCGACTTCGCGAAGGAACGAGGAAGATTAGTAGTTACTTCACCGATGAACCACTCTGCGATCATATACACATTATTGTCAAACCACCTCTACCGCTTTTTAAATTTGACCTTGTACGTATTATGGGGCTTTTATCCGAAGGAGACATTGTAGAATACCTATACGAAGATTGTACTCATAAAGCGACATTACGAGAAGGTTGTCTTTGCACGAAAGATGGCAAATATCATTCGTTTACAGAATTTATACGAGCTGTAAGGAAATTAAAACTAAAAGAAAAAGTTCGCCCCAACGATTTTCACAACCTAAAGATTAATGGTATGACTTATTGGGAAGTTCGCGAAAAACTCTATAAATTGTATTTTGATCAAAGTGAAGAAGAGGATGAAGGTAATCTTACATTACTCATTCTTTTTAATCGAAATAAGCCTTAATTTTTGCCATGTATTACATTCAAATAGAAATTGTTGATAGTATATCCTCTGAAGGAAAACTCGAGGATCTTCCAAATACAATCGAAACAGTTCCCTGGAATAAAGATCTCGAGAATCGCCTCTGCCAGCTATACGTGAGGGATGATGTCGTGGACATATTTTGGGGCCGAAGCATTCTCACTGGTGAAACAACATGGAGTGTTTACGTGGTTACTCGCAATCTTAGCTTATGTGAATATAAAGAGGAGGTCACAGTAGGTCAAGTAATTCACTTTATACCAGAAGAAAAAGGGTTTTTCAACGCTGAGATTCCACCACAAAGTGCCCACGTTCCTCTTTCAACCTGGAAAAAGGTCCCACGAGATTTACAGAAGGCTTTTGATGAAGCCTTAAACAATGAACTGGGTCCACCATTCCGCGAAGCACATTATAATCTGGTCGGTATGAGCACTGGATATAAGCGAACTAAAGGTAAATTTACCGAAAAACCTGCTATCATACTGTATGTTCGCCAGAAAGGCATTCTACGCCGTGGTTGTTCCTTATTCCCGGATAAGATTTGTGGATATCCGGTAGATGTTGTCGAAGCTTGTGTTGCTACTCCCTATGGTTATAGTGCGAGTGTTTGTCAAACTTATCAGAAGAATGTTAAGTTGGGATCGAGTATAGGTGTAATAGAACCGCAGAGAACTTGTGGAACTCTTGGTGCTGTTGTGCACGACAAAGATTCAAAACAAATAGGTATCCTCTCATGTGAACATATATGCAGGTTTAGTGAATTGAGCGGTGGAACGGGTGTCACAGTCTATCAGCCTTCGCATAAAGATCTAGATGAACTGAAACAGTCATTTGATGAAATGGCAAATGAGAATGAAGCATACAAAAAAATATGTGAAAATATGCATAGTCAAATTGATAAGGACAAACAGGATTCGGCCCTAGCTTGCTATGAGCGTGGCATGCGAAGCAACTTCTTCTCTAAAGCACATCAAAAGAACTTTGGTATTGACGTTGCATTTTTTATCGCAAACAAAAATCGTACGTTATGTCCGAATAAATTTTCAGTTCCCCCAAAGTGCTTCAAAAGTGTAAAACTTCCTGAAAACACCTGTCTGAATGGTTTTTATACATATGAAGAGCTTGATGACATTGATGAGATGGAAGTCTTTAAAGTAGGAAAGTCTACAGGTCTTTCTCGTGGAAAATTGGTTCCTATTAGTACCGCTATTTCCATTGGTCTAACAAACGAAAGCATCAAATTTGCAAATGAGCAAGGCGAAATCCCACCATATAGTAATATTAAAGATAAAGAATGCTTCATTGGATACATGAAGGCACAGTTGTTCCAAAATTATCAGAAATGTTACCCTACTGTGTGGTTTGATCGACAATTAGTTTTTTTTTTCAGACCTGGAGACTTTGAAACCGGAGACTCGGGAGCAAGTATTATGGATCAAAAAGGAAAAGCCCTTGGTATTCTTCATGCATCGTGGATGACAGGAAATTCTAGATACGCAATTGCTTCCCCTTACTTTTCAGTTTTTGAGGCATTGGATGTAGAGTTTGAGGAAACATCAAGTTCAGTTGATTGATGTTTTTGCAGTAATCGATTTTGCCATACGCCGTTATTCCAGTTTCTCGGTTTATAGGTAAAAATAATTAATTACGCAGATTTCCATTTTTCCGTCATAGTTAAGACGGAAATGAAAAGTATAAGCAAAAATTATCAGAAATATTGCATTTCATTTATTTTGGTTGATATAGTGTGCGGTCTTTAATCACTCAATAGTTGTTGCTACTTTAACGAAACCGCATGTATTTATACATTAAGAATAGTTCGTTGTTGAAAAAAGGACTCTTTGCATTTCATACTAAATAATAAATCACCGAAATTATAACATTGTACAAATTTATACTATTTATACAAACTAATATATCGCGATCGCGTTAGGCGTTGACTTCGCGCTCAATAGTTGAATGATTTTTTTAACTCATTTGCGATGCCTGCCTTGCTCACATGCAACGATCACGGGTAACGTATTCGAACAACGCGAAAAAAAATAATTGATTAGATCCAGGTTTGGGCTACTTCTATTATAGCCTTCAAGTTCACGAACGCGCATTCTTCGATCATGGCCTTTTTGAAGATTTCTTTAAAGCGAGACCAAATAGTTTAGTTGATATCTGTGAATTGAATTCGATCAGATCAAAAATCAGAAATCATTTTATTTTTCGGCTGTGACAGTGGAGTCAACTGTAAATAATTTTTATTTTAAAGCACCTACAAAATTATTTAATTCTTTTCGATTTTTATTTCAATCAATAAAGCGAAGGCGCATTAGCGCAATTTTTCACACCGATATTTTTCATGTGATTAAACTTTTGAATAAATCTGCATTTTATATAAAACAATGGCAAATACACAATCTAAAATCAATTTATTAGAACAGATTTCTAAGCTTGTAGCTGAGAATACCGAAATTAAAAAGAAGTATACTGAGGTCGAGGCTGAGAATATCGAAGTTAAAAAGAAATATACTGAAATTGAGGCTGAGTGTACAAAGCTAAGGCAGATTATTAAGGATAGTTCTAGGCGCGAAGCTGAACATGCAAAACTCAAAAAAGATACTACTAACCTCAAGGTCGAAAACTCTGAACTTAAAGCTAGAGTTGCGAAATTGGAACAGAGGCAGTTGCAAAACGATGAAAAGAGCAACTTTATTGCTAAATCAGATGATGATATTAGGGAAATCAAGCAATCTTCAGTTAATATCAAATATACCGAAACGGAAAATTCTAACGATACCCGCGAACAGATAGTCTTACAAACTGAGGATGTGTCGGCATCTGATATATCCGATAACACTTCAAATTCTAGTCACTTTGTGACTGCCTCCGGTAATTTCAGGAATTAGAGACCTCCACATCTTCTATCCCCGTAGAAACCATATCATTGGAAGAGAAAGAAGAAAATGAATTCCTGGATTCAATGTATAAGGAACAGGTTAGTAAAGAGATAATTCAGAGCATTAGGGAGAAGAAGCTTCAGGATCAAAATTCAGACTTATCTTTAGTTAATCAAACCGTTTCTTCAGCGGAATCTGAAAAGACAATGACATCTACATCATGTGAATCAAAAAACCGTGACAAAATGTCACGATCAAAATAATGCCCTTGACAATTCTGGTATCACTTCCGAAATACTCGAATCAGATAATCAAATCGTAGAAGGTTTACTACAAGAGATAACTTATGACCACGAACAAAGTATTGTCCCCAAAATCAATCCTCTATCTTCAATTAACGGAAACAATGGTGAGGTAAATGTTAGTGGTATACAGGATATAGTTCCGGACTCTGTACAATGTTTATCAGACTTATTTGATAAAGCAATTAAATCAGGTCAGAAACAAATTTTATGTTGGTATTATTATTCTCTAGAATTCGAAAATAAGGTTAAAAGTCTTACAGCAGATGGCGAGATTAAAGATAAAACAGCAAGATCAAAAATATATAAGGAAATGAAACCTTTTCTACTTAATATTACAGATGTAAACTTGCGAAAGAAGACTGAAAGAGTTCGAAAAATTCTTAAGCTATTTGGGGAAGAGGGAGTAGGTACAGATAAGATCAAACTCGTTACATATAGTGCAAGTACTATTTCGGGATTAAAAAATACTCAAATTCAACATATTATAAATGAGATGACTTCAAAAACCGTGACAAAATGTCACGATCAGATTAATGTAGAGGTAAGTATTTCAGTTACATCACCTATTCCTCCAACTCATATCTCTAATCCTTCAGGTCTAGGCAATTTGCCAAAGACTGAGGCAAGTATACCATCTACACCTCAGCTCAAGAAGACTTTATCTGAAAAGCAAAATAATCCAACATATACTCATAGTTATTTTCACAACAAAATATTGGAGCAATATCCTAATATATATTATGAATGTAGTAGTAAAAATGTTAATTATTATGGGATTACTGATGAATATTTATGCCTAATATGCAAGTTAAGTCATGAGAATGAAGAAGATATAGAAGCTAAATATAAAAATAGATCTTACTATATTAAATGTGAAGCATCTAAAATTGGCACTGTTATATCAGCTCATACTGAACTAATTATATAAATTTTATCTGTTTATGCATTCTTATTATTACTATGCAATAAAGATTAATATAAGTGAAGCTACTGAAATAGCATAAATATTTAATGCATAAAGTACACTTTCTCTGAAAGATATTTTTTATGCATATAAGTGCTCTTATTTTATAAGTGATATCCAATATAGAAATTTAAATAAATATGATCTTATAAAATAATAACATGAATATGTTAAACTCACAGATCAAGCCTAATAAAATTTCTATGAATCAGAATACTCTAATCCTAAATATTTGAATTGGCAAGATAAATTAATTGATATTTTGACTGATAAAATTCACTTCAAGTTATATAAAAGATATAAAAATAAAACTAAGCTTGATCTCTTAATAATATCTAAAACTTCTAAATTTTCACAAATTGAAAAGACTAATAATTATCTTTCACAGGATTGTATTATCAAAATTTCTAAGTTTCCAGAAGAGAAAAGTATAATTCTTAAAGCAGTACAGAAATGATTCTCTTTCTTGACATATACTAATTTGAATATATGGTATCAAAATATTTTTAAATATATTAATTCAGAAACTAAATATCCAATATATAAAAAGATATATATATATTTAGATATATGGAGTGATTAAAACTATCTTGATAAAGATGATCATTATTTTCTTAATTGCTCTTTTCATATCAATCAAAAGAAAGTTTTATTGTTATACAGAGCTACTAAAATGTATTATATAAATCCTGTATTATATCATATATTTTTATTATATATTTATTAATAAAGATTTTTTCTATTATGTATTTTATATCTTATATAAAAAGTTACTAAAATACAATCCAAACTAGATCTATTAAAACAAGAGAATATTAGGCTTTTGGCTAGAATTGCAGAATTAAAACAGATTATGAAAGAAAAAATAAGCTTGAGCTTAAAATTATAGAATTAGAATGATCAGCAAAAGAAAATATTGAGCTTAGATCTAGAGTCACAAAATTGGAATAGAAGCAGTTGCAAGATGATAAAAAGAAAAGTAACTATGTTATCTCACTAAATAAGAATACTTTCATATCTAAATTAGATAATGATAAATTTTTGATTAATATCACTCCTATCAAAATAGTAAATCTAATGATACTTTTGCATCTGAAATAATCAGATCTTCAGATATCTTTACAAGACATGATATATTAAATTTTGATATTATCTCTGAATAGATAATCTTGTAAAATAAGAATACTCCAATATCTAATATATTTAATAATATCTTGATATTTGATATATCTGATAATACTTTAAATTCTGATATATATCAGGAAGAGATAAAATCTAAAGTCTTTAATATATCTTTAACTCAATACTCCATATTACTTATTCATACAAAGTTTATACCATTGGAAGATAAGAAGATTGATAAATTTCTAGATTCAATATATAAAGAAATAATTAGTAAATAAATTATTTAAAATATTAAGAAGAAAAAATTATAAAATCAAAAATGAATATAAAAAATATCTTCTTCTGAAAATCTCATTATCAAAATTTCTGTCTTACAAAGTAAAGATATCTTTACATCTAAATCAGAGTAAATATCCATTGATCTGAAAATTTCTTATAATCAAAAAATAGAATAAAATATAATACATAAATTATCTATTTATATTAACATGAGTCAGCTTCCAGCTAAGAAAAATATTACTATTCAAGATATAGATATATAGATTTCTGAATTCTCTCTAGAAAAAATATTAATAGGATCTAATAAAGTATTAGTTCAGATTATAGTAGATTTATTTAATATAGTAATAAAAACTAGATAAAAGAAGAATTTATATTAGTATTATTTCACTAGAGCATATGATAATTGGATTAGGGATATTAAATCAATAAATAATATTAATGATAAATCAGTGAGAACATTGATATATAATAAAATTAAAGATACTTATTTCTGATATTACTGATGTAAATCTATGTAAAAGAACTTTCAAAGCTAAGAAAATTTATATATTATATAAAGAAATAGGAATAGATAAAATTAAATAAATATCTTATAGTGCAAATGCTATCTCATATTTAAAGGATGAGCAGATTCAAAATATCATAAATTATTTTTCCAAAAAATCTACTAATATAAATGATATAATTAATTATCAAGAAGTAATCAGTATTCTAAAATAGAATGAATACATAACTAAATCAGATAATATATCAAATATTAAGATAAGTACTTCAGCTAAATCTCTAATCTCTAACTTTTTTAATTCAAAAGATAAGATAGATGCATTATCCAAATCATATCAAACTATATCTTTTCTATATCAAAATATTATAGATATTCTATATGTACCAGCTAACTCTAAAGTTTCTGATTTGAAATTTATTATTAAGAAGACTTTATCAAATACTAAGATAAGTATATCTTTAATTTCTATTAATTTAAAAATCAAAATGAGTGAAGAAGTCAAGAA